GTCTCTGGCTCCGGCTGAGATCCCGCAGTTTCAGTCGGATCTCATTATCCTGTTCGATGTTGTATGGTCACGAACTGGGTATGGTCACGAACTGGGTGTGTCTTGAAGTGGTCTTCCTCTTGGCTTTCCTTCAATACAAAACAAAGGCTTCCCTCGAGGGAAGACGAACCAAATAGGTTCCAGAATGCAAGCATATGTCTTTTTCGGGCAATTGCTGAGGTGGGTAATGATGAGCCCCTTCTTTTTGGTTTCTCCAGCGCGGCCAGTTCTGTTGAAGAAATCTTGCCAAGCTCAGCACCGGCACCCTTGTCTCCTGGACAAAGGGGTTCAGCCGCCGGAGCCCCCAAATCAGGATCCGAAATTGAATAGACGGCCACTTTTCTGGTTTGTGTGGCCATTTCGGCTGGTTGGCCAGCATATTTGAGCAATAGCTGTGCTGCTGCCATGGTTCTCTATTCAAACCTTGTTTTCAACCCTGCTTGGTCATTGGGTCATAGACATAGTTTTAAGGGGTAGCAGGGGGGTGGTTTCCTCGCAACCTGAATAGGAACCCACTTTCCAAGTAGGTCCAACATCCCAGCAGATCGAGTCGCGCTGTTGCGCAGGAACCTTGTCGTTGGGACGTGAGGCTCACTCAGTCCCGGCTTCCTAGCACCTACGGGATTGGTCAAGACGCCCCCAAACGACCATACTTTTGCCAGTTAGTGGGATATCATCATCATCATCATCATCATCATCATCATCATCATCATCATCATCATCATCATCATCATCATCATCATCATCATCTTGATTGGTGGTTTTCCCCATTGGTCATCCCATGTAAATGTAAAGGACCTCTTGATTCACCCCCATCTGTCCGTTGTCTTGAATTCTGCCAACCACTCGAGATATAACTTTTTGGTTGGACGTTCTCACGGCAAGCATAGAAAGCATGTAGGAAGCGGCCCGTTGTTTGTAAGCAACCCACATCTGAACTGAGGACTCCGACGGCTATGTACATATCTTCAGGTTGGACGTCACGCAGGACGTTGACGGAAGGTTTGGGAAGCCCATGTTCACGGCGGTTGGTCCATCTTGCCAAGGTAAACCAACACCAGGGTTTCAACTTGTTTCCTTCACTTTCCAGGGGGAATCAGCCATGGAATCCCCTCGAAAGTGAGGGGGATTGGGCATCCCCCGTGGGAATGCCGGCATGGCGTGTGCATTGTCAAGTTGCGTAAGTTGGATTTTTCCCAAAGCCGATGTTCCAGCAGTTAGCCAGGTGGGTGTATCGTACATGTTTAGGGGATCCCCAACATGTTGGTTTTCCTGTTGGTTTTCCTTTAAAGCCACGTAAAAGTGTAGCCTCACAAAAAAGACACTCCCAAGTGGTGACTACCGTAACCCCAGTCCGCCCCTTTTCGCAGCCCCTGGAAACCCTTGCAACTGGGGTTAAGCATCACGGTCCGATGTGGTATTTGTGTTGGGCATTCTTTTATTTGGACGTGTCGTTGTATTTTTCGGGGAACCCCCCTCTTTGGCTGGTTTCAAAGGGAAACCGACAAGGAAGCCACCCTCTTGAAGGGGTCAAACGCTAAAAAAGAAGAAGACAAAAAGCAAAACGACGAGCCACACAGGAAAAGCAACACACACACACACACACACAAAAAGAGCCACCCCATTTCTTTGATCTGGTGTGCAACTTTGCCGATACACGGCAGCTTTCTTTCTTTTTTTCTTTTCTTTCTTTCTTTTTTTCTCTCCCCGTTTTTCCTTTTTCGGGTCCATGGCACCCAGTTTAGGCTTTCGGCTCCAGGCGCTGAGGCACAGGGAGAGCGCCGAGGGTTCGCAAGTTCGGTAAGACTCACGTTTTGGCATGGTCAACCAACCCAGAGGCGCAAGTGCAGAGGCTGCCGAAACGGGGGCCGCAATTTGCCATCAAGGTCGCCCTTTGGACCCTAAGGAAAGATACGACTCTCTGGGCTCCCTTCAGCATCACACTCCAGGAACTGTGCGGAGGGGCTTTGCAACACATAGCTTCAGAGATTTTCCAATCTGGGAACAAGGTGTCGAGCGGTTTTCTGTCTGGTTGAGCCATGCTCTTTCCGTTTTTTTGTTTTTTCCCGTGCATTGGTCTTTTTTTGTCAGAGGATGTGAAAAAATAATCCTGACGGTCAATCCCATAGGCCCGCATGCACGTACGCCTGTGCACTGCCAATTGACCCGAGGGTTCCCGGAAAAGAGCACTGGGAGAGGACAACGCCTTCGACCAGCTCTTCCTGCCAGTTTGGAAGGAGCTCAGCTCGGTTTGTCGATGCAGTCACAACAGCGTTGGGGTGTCGATGGGTTCATTTGCCTTGGGGGCATGTTGGTTAATGAGGAGTGCTCAGGCCATGGGAACAGCCACGAAGCACCTGAGCCACAATCAAAACCCGGGTAGATGAAGGTTAGTAAGGGGCAGTCCCAGCCAGAAATTAAATAGCTGCGCCTTGTTAATTCTTTACATGGTTCTGGGTAGACCATTTCAATACCGCGCGGTTGGATCCGGGCCATTTTGCCACGAAACCTAGCCTTCGAATTGATCGCGGCCTGAAGTTTGTGTTTCAAACATGGCCGACTCTTGGGCGCGAGTTTTTGAAGACTCCAATGGACATGGCATTCTCGCCAAAGCTTCGGGGAGTCGGTGTTAAGACCACCTGAGGCGGTCTTGACTGTTGATGACCGATTTTTGGGCCCTCGGGCGCCGAAGCGATGTGGCTGGACTCCAGGTGGCCTGAGACAAAAAACCGCCATCAAGAATGGCTTGGAACAGGATGTTTGGAATCAACCCCCCACAAGGGTTCGCGGAAGATTCAACACCTCACAGGTTCCTGCGGAGTCTTTGCGGCCCTGCCTATGCCTCATCTCGGGCCGCTCGTCCCATTCCCCGTTGTAACCCGTCCCTCTCTTTCTTTCCCTAGCACCGGTCTCATGGGTTTGGATCACGGCTCGAGTGCATTTGGATTGGTCAGGTTCACTTCCTGGGCCCATTTTCGTAAACGGCCACTTGGGAGCGCTTTCTTTGTTCGGGCGCTCAACAACCATCGGAAGCTTTGAATTCCCCTCTCGAGGCGAAGGTTCATGACCTGGGCATCTCGAAAATCATGGCGGTGCCCATGGAATCCTTCCTCTTCACCCTCTCCTACGACCAGTGCCTGGATCGAAAGAAAGAAACACTAGTGAGAGGCACCGGAAGTTCAAGGAAGGGAAGAATCTAGGGGCTCATGAAAGCGAGCCCCAACATGCATAAACACATATGTGTGCATACATATTTGTATGTATATATAGATAGATAGATAGATAGATAGATAGATAGATAGATAGATAGATAGATAGATAGATAGATAGATAGATAGATAGATAGATAGATAGATGGATGGATGGATGGATAGACAGATAGATCGATGGATAGATAGATGGATGGATGGATGGATGGATGGATAGATACATAGATAGATAGATAGATAGATAGATATAGATAGATAGATAGGTAGATAGATAAGATAGATAGATAGATAGATAGATAGATAGATAGATAGATAGATAGATAGATAGATAGATAGATGGTCTTGAAACTTGGGCTATCTTCCCTCGTATTTGAGTATAGGGTGTACAAGCATATTCATTGTTGCACGAAACAAATAACCGGCACTCCCACAAGGGTTTCTGCACATCAAGTGGTTCCCTCTATTCTCCTTCAGATCCAGGAGGACTCCCCAGCAATCCACGTACCTCTTTGTGGAATCTCCTTTTGCGTTGGGACCTCCTGAAAGTCGGGTCATTCCGTGAATTCTAGGGAGATATGTTGAACCAAGCCGTTGCCCAGCTTCCCTACGTGACATTTCTTCTCCTACGTTGCGCAGCGGATGAGTGGGGGCATCAAACATCCTGTCGGTCTCAAACATCAGCTTCAAAGTGAGATTGGTGAGGTCTCGTCAGGGGTTTTATCGGGAACTTTTCTGGGAATCGGAACCGACAAAAGGGATGGGCTGGTTTTTGGCTTTTCCGTTGATCCTTCGTCCTTTTGGGACACGGCTGGGACACCTTTGGCAAAGCTCCGAGCCAAGAGGTGTCTGGAGACGCATCCACGGGAACCCCCAAAAGTTAGGGTTACCTCCAAACCTTTTGAATAAAAGACACAAGTTCTCATCCGGCCCTTCACCCAATGGGTCTACTTACTTTCCCGAAACAAAAGAAGCTTTGGTCTGGTGGGACGCGCCGTTGTCCTCTGCAACAGGAAGGTGCAGCCACGTGATTCTCGAAAAGGCTCCAGCTCCCTGATTTTTCCCAGGGTTTGGACATATTGACTCGCCTGAATTGCTTGGGGCTTCCTGACTTTTCAGGTTGACATGTTCAACTTGCAGATGCGGGGTTTGATTGATATTCCCTTCGGCCCCCAAATGACCTGGGCAGCTTTTTTTTCCACATGGCTGATGTATCTCACCTTCGTGGTTTTCCAATGGTCATCCCATGTAGCAGTGACCTTTTGCTCGACCCCCATATGGGTGTGTCTTTTGTTTGGGGGAATTCCCAAACTGGATGCTTTTCCGCTTTCCTTTCGGTGCCCCTTGACATCCACAGAAAACAAAATCGGGGGGGGGGGGGAAAGGGTGAAGCTGAGGGGAAGCCTGTTGATGGTCCCCTGTTATGTTTTTTACATTCATCTGAAACCTATTAACCACCTTATTCGTTTTTAAAAGGGTGTTTTTGGGGAGCTTGTTTATCGTTTTCGTTAAGGTAATCATTTGGGTAAATTGTCGCCTTGTTCATTGTTGGGCTGGGGGCCGACATTTTTTTCATTTGAAAGAGTTAGCCCTTTTAGTAGTTATTTTGTTCTGGGGTGTTGGTGGTGTATTTGTTTTGTCATCGGTTTTGTTATTGAAAGTTTGTTATAAGTTGAAATTATAGTATAATGAAAGGTTAAAAAGATTTACAATGTTTAATCATATTATAATTAAGTAATATGAATAAACAACATC